ATGTCATATACGGTTCACCTTAAGAGAATCTTTCAATCAATCAAACAGATCACCTAGACTTACCTGCTTTACCCATACGATTGAGGCCTCTTTCAACAACCTTCGAAAGTTTCTCCGCTTTTTTCTTCTTCTGAAAGCAACAACAGTTGGAAACGAGTCCAGCGTCAGCGGTGCAAAGAATCCCTCGCCGGTTATATTTGTTACTAGAGACCTTTAGATTCTAAGACGAGGCCGACAACGAGTACGAGATTTTCGCAATATACTAAGCAGTGTCCGCGCGAGTTTTAGCTTGAATGTCGTGGTGGCGGTTATTTAACAATTATTCCTCGAGCCCGAATGGGCTCTGAGTCAATAACCCATGAGGCCGAAGGGCGAATGGGCTGGTCTCTAATATTTTTCTCAGCTGCACAAGATAGCTGCGGCTTTCACCATTTAACCAATTACATGGACAATAATGACTTTGAGTAAATTCCTAAGTCATTGGCATACTTTTCTTTCATATTGTTTACCTGATTACGAAGTACAGGCTACTATGAACTTTTGAGTCTGGAGGAAATCCTTATACGGTGGTTCTAAGATTAAACTTTGGAGTCTGTTAAGGAAAACTTTTCATCGAGGAATGAGCAATAAAACTGCATAAAATAGGCACGCTGGTGGTGTCTTTAAAGTCTTTGAATGAAAGCCTCACAGCTGCTCACACTTCTATGGAAACAAAGAAGTCTTTGCAGACTATACAAGCTGGGCTCGATCCTGGCTGACTCACACTAAATAAATGTGCGTGCATCCATTAGAAAGAAGGCTATTTCACAATGCTTACGTATTATACCGCTGTTGTTTTGTTTTTTACCTCTGGGGATCCGATTCCAGACTGGTCACGTGGTGGCCGCGATAAGCTGCGCGCTCCACTGCTAGCCGCTCTTTCTTTTCCGACTCATTGGTGTCTGGGAACGAGATCTTGTTACAGTCTCATCTCCCTGCAAATACGGATCGGTACACATCCAGTGTTATACATGAAATAAACAATGATAATAGGTGCGCATGATAAAACCACTGCCTACCTCTTCAATGCCTTCCATTGCCTCACCCAAATCAGTATCACTCTTTTTTCGGCTGCGAGTGGCTTGAGCCTATCTGCAAAAAATATTAAAAGATTAAAACAACGAAACCGTCACGTGGTCCGGATAAAAACTTTTCAATCCTTGGCTTTACATTGCTTTGCTCTGTGATTGCGTGAAAAAGTCCGCACCACTTGTTTTAACCCATCAGATTTAAATCAATAACTAGAAATACGTGCATCGCAAGACCTCGCGGAGCACTTCGGGGGAACGGCAAGAAGTAGGATGAAAGGGAAATAAGGCAATAGGGAAGAAAATATATAAATGTAAAAAAACTAACGCTATATAAAGAAACAAAACAAAACTACAATATCTAAAAATACTAAACGAAACGAAAAAAAAAAAAGAAAAGAAGAGAAGAGAAAAAAGAAAAGAGGCTTTTCGCCCGGAACTCAGCACCTCCTACGTGCCGGAAATATTTTTACCACTACGCCACGTGGGGTCGTGAATGAGAGGATAATATTTTATTTAAAACATTTCTCCTAGAATTTCCGCCAGCACGCCCTGTTTAAGCTGATCAAGCACTTATCTCTCAGTGGGTCTCGTGATTGGCCAGAGAGATTGCGATTGTTAACCTGCACTATAACTCCACTTGTAAGTATCCATTAGTTTCACAAGTGCGAACTGATAGTAAACTATCGCCTTCTCGGCGATGGCCTTATGGTCCTTATGCTCATCCATTAAGTTGTCCGCGGAGGAGCGTAACGCCTGGACCGCTAAACTTCGGACTGCTCCCTAGTATGAGACTGGTTGTGATGTGAATAAACACAGAATCATTCTAGAGCAGTCCCATTATGCTATGAATTGACACTTATCTTTTTCTTTGTCCCAAAAAATTTACAGTACATACTACTCCTCACTGAGAAACAAAACAGAAACGATGTGAACGAGCCCAAAAGTGTAACCTCACATTCTGTCATGCAGATATTAACCAATCGGAAGTGGAGGACAGTTTCCAGCTGGCTTCTTATTGGATTAAATCTGCACGAAAGAATGAGAGGTCATACTTTTGGGCTTCTTGCTGTAAAAGTTTTAACTTACCTTAAGGAACACGGAACGTGAAAGTTTTGCTTTGTTATTTCTTGGTTTCATCTCACGATGAGCTTTGACAATAAGCTTTTTCTTTTCGCGGATTCTAAAGTAAAGAGAAAATTGCGCTCAGAAAGCTTTAACCAAGACAAGTAAATTCAGAGAGTTGCTAATATATAATTAAACATATAACTCACTGTTCAGCTTTATTTCTTATATCCTCTTCTTCAGAGTCCAATTCCTCCTGTAAAACGAGACAAATACAATAAAAAAACTCTAAAACGATTATCAATAATTCGAGAAGTGACCAGTAACCGCGATAGAGGAACGTCAGGCGACACGCGACAGAGCATTTAACCCTGTGCATACATGGCTGTTCTTTTTGCTTCCTGGCCGGGGGGAGGGAAGGGGGTGGGGGTAACTATAGAGACCAGCCCCTATAACTTCAAAACCGCACATGCTCGGGCAACCAAAATAATACAGTAAAAACACTATGGGTATCTTGGGAAAAATCTTGGTAAGATTTACTACAGGTATCTTGGCAGGAATATTGGTGAGAATTACTATGGGTTTCTTGGCTAGAATCTTCGCAAGAATTACCACAGGGATTCTTGGCAAGAATTACTACGGGAATCGTGGAAAGAATCTTGGCAAGAATTACCACGGGAATATTAGCAAGAATCTTGGTAAGAATTACCACGGGAATCTTGATAAGTATCTTGGTAAGAATTACTACGGTAATCTTGGCAAAAATCTTGGCAAGAATGACCACGGGAATCTTAGCAAGAATCTTGCTAAGAATTACCACGGGAATCTTGGCAAGAATCTTGCTAAGAATTAAAATGGGTATTTTGGCAAGAATCTTGGAAAGAATTAGAACGGGAATCTTAGCAAGAATCTTGGTAAGATTTACTATCGGTATCTTGGTAAGAATCTTGGCAAGATTTAACATGGGTATCTTGGCAAGAATGTTGGTAAGATTTGCTATAGATATCTTGGCAAGAATCTTGGTAAGAATTACTATGGGTATCTTGGCTAAAATCTTGGCAAGAATTACCACGGGGAATTTTGGCAAGAATTACCACGGGAATCTTGGCAAGAAATCTGGTAAGAAGTACAATAGGTATCTTGGAAAGAATCTTGGCAAGAATTACAACGGGAATCTTGGCAAAAATCTTGGTAAGAATCACTAGGGTAATCTTGGTAAGAATCTTGGCAAGAATCTTGGCAAGACTTACCACGGGAACCTTGGCAAGAATCTTGGCAAGAATTACCAGAGGAAACTTGGCAAAAATCTTGGTAAGAATTACTACACAAATCTTGGCAAGAATCTTGCTAAGAATTACCGCGGGGATCTTGGCAAGAATCTCGGCAAGTATTGCCACAGGAATCTTGGCAAGAATTACCACAGGAATCTTGGCAAGGACCTTGGCAAGAATTACCACGGGAATCGTGGCAAGAATTACCACAGGAATCTTGGCAAGAATCTCGGCAAGAATTGTCACAGGAATCTTGGCAAGAATTACCATGGGTATCTCGGTAAGAATCTTGGTAAGATTTACTATAGGTATCTTGGCAAGAATCTTGGCAAGAATTACTATGGGTATCTCGGCAAGAATCTTGGAAAGATTTACTATAGGTATCTTGACAAGAATCGTGGTAAGAATTACTATAGGTATCTTGGCAAGATTTACTATGGTTACCTTGGTAAGAATTACTATGGGCATCTTGGCAAGAATCTTGGCAAGAATTATCACGGGAATCTTGGATTGAATCTTGGGAAGAATTACTATGGGAATCTTGGCAAGAATTATCACAGGAATCGAGGCAAGAATCTTGGTAAGAATTACTACAGGAATCTTGGCAAGAATCTTGGTAAGAATTACCGCAGGATCTTGGCAAGAATCTCGGCAAGAATTGCCACAGGAATTTTGGAAAGAATCTTGGCTAGAATTACCATGGGTATCTCGGCAAGAATCATGGTAAGATTTACTAAAGGTATCTTGGGAAGAATCTTGGTAACATTTACTATGGGTATGTTGGCAAGAATCGTGGTAAGAATTACTATGGCAATCTTGCCAAGAATCTTGCCAAGAATTACCGCAGGAACCTTGGCAAGAATCTTGGTAAGAATTACTACAGTAATCTTGGCAAGAATCTCGGCAAGAATTACCAAAGGAATCTTGGCAAGAATCTTGGCAAGAATTACTATGGGTATCTCGGCAAAAATCTTGGTATGATTTACTAAAGGTATCTTGGCAAGAATCTTGGTAACAATTACTATGGGTGTGTTACCACGGGAATCTTGGCAAGAATTCTGGTAAGAAGTACAATTGGTATCTTGGCAAGAATCTTGGCAAGAATTACAACGGGAATCTTGGCAAAAATCTTGTTAAGATTTACTATAGGTATCTTGGCAAGAATCTTGGTAAGAATTACTATCAGTAGCTTGGTAAGAATCTTGGTAAGATTTACTATAGGTATCTTGGCAAGAATCTTGGTCAGATTTACTATGGGTATCTTGGCAAGAATCTTGGTCAGATTTACTATGGGTATCTTGGCAAGAATTATCACAGAAATCTTGGCAAGAATCTTGGTAAGAATTACTATGGTTATCTTGGCAAGAATCTTGGTAAGATTAACTATGGGTATGTTGGCAAGAATCTTGGTAAGAATTAGCATGGGTATCTTGGCAAGAATTATCACCCAAATCTTGGCAAGATTCTTGGCAAGAATTACCACCGGAATCTTGGAAAGAATCTTGGTAAGAATTACCGCGGGGATCTTGGCAAGAATCTTGGTAAGATTTACTATAGGTATCTTGGCAAGAATCTTGGTAAGAATTAGTATGGGTATCCTGGCAAGAATTATCACGGAAATCTTGGCAAAAATCTTGGTAAGAATTACAAGGTGTATGTTGGCAAGAATGTTTGTAAGAATTGCTTTCGATATCTTGGCAAGAATCTTGGTAAGATTTACTTTGGATATGTTGGGAAGAATCTTGGGAATTTTACTATATGCAGCTTGGCAAGAATCTTGGTAAGAACTACTATGGGTATCTTGGCAAGAATTTTGGTAATAATTGCTTTGGATATCTTGGCAAGAATCTTGGTAAGATTTACTATGGGTATGTTGGCAAGAATCTTGGGAATTTTACTATAGGTATCTTTGCAAGAATCTTGGAAAGAGTTACCACGGGAATCCTTGTAAGAATTACCACGGGAATCTTGGCAAGATTTACTACAGGCCAACATTAACACTTACGTCTCACTTGAGGCAAAATGTTGGCTTAAGGGAGGGGCAGGTGGGCAAAATGATGATAATGATCCAAAAATCTCTAAGACACTCTCTTACTGGTTCTGAGTCATAAAGCCCTTCAGCCTCGCGGAGTTCCTCTTCTTTCTCCAACTCTTCTAATTTCTGTAATGAAAGAAATTCAAATATTTTACTTTTGTGATAACGGTAAGGCGCATGGAGAATCGGACACTAAACTAGCAAATTTTGGTCAGCCAATGTCTGATGACCGACTGTTATTTGCAGCCCCGTAAGCGCAAAGGCATTGATATGAAAATTAGTTTTGTTATCATGCAAATAAAACTCGTTTTCACAAGAAAGGTTTTGCATTTAGCCTCATTTTGAAAGTGAGAGTTTTTGGAACTAGGAAATGGCCTTCATTTGTATTGCCAAGTCTATTGATTGATTGATCGATTGACTGATTTTTTGTAAACACATCTAACCAATTATTAAACAATTAATTCATTTATTGTAGTGACATATACAAATCTCAGATTAGGCAGATTAAAAAAGGACACAAAGTTGTGCTTAGGGCTCTTCTCTTGGTTTGACCTGCTACTTTTCACATAAAGAAATTGAAACTTTAGCACTACAACTCCAAGTTGAAGCCTCACCTTCATAATATCTGGATCAATGAAGTCAGCCACATTCTTTCCAAGGTAAATCTCTGGTAAAATATCATGTTTCTCGTCACCTTTTTCCAGATCCCAATGCTCCCGCATATCTATGTAGTAATCTTCTCCCATCTCAATCTCCAGTTCTCTGGCCAGTTTGCGCTTGGGCTGGGCTCCTTCAACAACCATAGCCTGCCTTTTGTCCAGTACAGCCTGTATATGAAGTAGCACAAATAAAGTTTGAATCAGTATTATAAGACAATCCAAACTCTCTCTGTGGACATAATTTCTTGCAATGTGACACAGTATAGATCTAATAAATACATGTATTACAATCACCTTGACAGAATGGTTACTAACAGTAATATTTAAAACAAATGAAGAACGATCCTCGCAGTTGTGAACGCAATTTATGCAATTGCGTAAGAAGCCTGAAAAAGCCATTCGGGAAAAGTATAGCTACAGGTGTTGCATAATAACTTAAGCACAGTTCTTCTGTAATTTGAATTCCCCCAAAAACTTCACTTGCCCGTTACGCAAGTTAAGAAGAGAATTCAATAGCCTGATAGAAAAATCCACTAAACCCTGGGCTTTCTTTGTACGCTTTTTTATTTAGTACTCTTTGTTTATCTTTAAGCTCTCCAAAAGGGACAATGCAAACAAAAATGTGATGTGTTCACTCTCTATTTACACAGAACTCAATGTTTGTGCATGGTTGGTGCTGTTTATGCCAATAAAACAAACAGTTATCTAGTGTGGTATTTTTTTCTACATTACTGCGTTTTTCAAAAACACGTGAACTCCGAAGTTCAAAAGCCAACCAACGTTTGTGTTTTTCGCTGCCGTCAATCATCTTAGCGGACCTCTCAGGAAACAGAACTTTACTTAAATGGGTTCAAAAGGTCATGGTTTGTGATCTGTGATTGGCAGATTTCGATCCGTTTTGTGTGTTTCCTTTTTTCAAGGTTCATTGCTTGTGATGGTAAAAGTGTAGTTATGATTGAGGGCAGCAAAAAACGCAATTGTGAAGGCGGCTTTTGAACTAGAAAGCTTGCATATTTGTGAAAAGCGCAGTAACGGAGTCCATACTAAGCAGCACAAACTTCCATGAGAGTTCACCTATTTCTTGTACAACCAGTGTTAACCTACCAAGACAATTTTCTTATGTGATCAATGCCCTAACTCTCACTATTTCTATTAAATTACACATTGATTCCTTGGAAAGAAAGTCGACACTGATCACCGTGGGCTTTAGGGATTGACTACAGTTCTTTTATAAGATGTTCGGGATAGTGCGGCATTACCTGAGGAATGCCGGGTGGTCTCTCTTTCTGATCTCTCTGTGTTGGCATGGCAACAGGAAGTCTGTTCATGATATCTGATGTTTTTTTGCTCTTCATCTTTATTTCAACTCTCTGAGCTAGGAGCTGATCACAAGCTTGCTTCATTTCTGAGAGTCATCACCCCTTCTGCACTAACTGTACTCATTGGAAGAAGGGTAACACCTACAGAAACAGCCAGGAGTTTATCTCTATGTTCTTTCTCTGTTCATACACAGAAAAAATTTCAATAATGTACAAACATACACTGCCTTAATATAGCAAGTTCTGATTATGGGGGAGAGACTTGCGATGTTTACACAAGTCAAGTAAACTTAACTTCTAAGTTAACCGTTTAGGATAATGATGAGGATGATGTAGCCTGTGGACAAGCTCTCCTCTTTAGGCGAGCCAAGTGAGCCACACGAGAATGCGCAAGAGAGCGAGCGACAAAGCCATGAGAGGCCAAGGAAAGGAGAGCTTGCAACAATCTCTCATAAATTTTCATTTGTACATGTACTTTGCCCAGAGGAAGAGAAGAATGATGTTCCGGAAATGAAAGTTGATTGATAACAGGCCTGTCTAGATCACGGGAAATGTAGTATCACCAAAACCTGTGTTATGTCGGCGATTGCTGAACTCACTTTGAAAAAGAAGACTGGTGGAGGCACAAAATCGCTTTCTCCTTCTGTGAGAGACAACTTTCGTCTGTGTGTAATTCTCACAAAGTTGTATGCGTGAAAGTGTTGCCAATAAAATTTTGCGAGCTGAGGATTATCAGAAAATCAGAACCCTTCATCAGTTGTATTTGTTTGTATCAAGTGCCTTGTTTAGTTCTGAAAATGAGAAGAGTGAAAGTGAGGATAGATTTGAGCGTGTGGTTCATGCAGTGCCTTCCAACGTTGCTTTTTTCGCCTAATTGAACTCCACTGGGTAGAAAATTCAGAAACTGGTACGTGACAGTGTAGAAGATGAAGAATTAGCAGCTGACTGTCAAGAAGGTCAATAAAAAGAGTAGGAAGCAACTGAGGAGTAAAACGTAAGACAACCAAGTCCAGGAAAAAGCTCTTCTCCAGTCGGAAACAGACAAAAATATACTGTTTCAAAAACTGGTGATTGTGACGGGGAGTGTAGTCTTCTGACTGTGGATGACATTTCAAATGTAAACAAAATGAGAATCTAAGTATTGACTTCTTATCCGTGCGGGACCATTGTATTTCGATGACCAGAGGTCAAAAACATTGCTTTGATGCAGTGGAAAGCTGTTGAGAAAGCAATTTAATATGTGCCCTTGGCTGTCTTAACATGACTTTTTAATCTGTGGCACGTTAGCAGTGACAGTTTTAATGCTTGGGGGAGCCCGGGGTGGAAATGAAAATTAATGAGTGATCGTTGCAAGCTCTTCTCTCTCTCTCCCCCAACTGCCCCTTCTCACGACTCCTCTCACAAGTCTACTTTTCTTGATGTCCCACAAATGGAGAGCTTGCTCGCAGGCAAAGGATGATGATGATGATGATGATGATGATGACAGTGGTGGTAGTGATGATGATGGTGATGATGATGATGATGTCAATGATGATGTCAATGATGATGATGACCATCATGACGATGATCAATGATGATCATGATCATAATCACCAAGATAATGATTTTTATGATGATGATGATGATAATGACACTGAGATGATGATCAGAGCATTATGGGTTTCCTGGGTGAACTGTGGTAAAGTAGGTGGACTGTACTGCAGCATGGTACTGCAATGTTATGAAGATCAAGCAGAATATTACCTTCTTGATCAAAAACTTTCATCATCTCTTTCTTCTCCTCAGAAAGCTCATCAGGTCTAAGCACATCAATTTTGTTTAAGATCACCAGCACGGGTGTGTTCACAAACAGAGGTTTAATGCCATTAAACAGCCCTATCTGTTTCTCAAGAGTGTGACCACACTGCTCTGAAATGTCCATCACGTAGAGAATTGCCGCTCGCAAGTGAGCAAGGGCAGTAATTGCCTAAAAAATTCAGGTAAATGTTTAGATCTTTCTTTTTAACTAAAATCACAATGATTTGCAACAAAAGACTTACATCATTGACAAATTTTCTAACCTGCATTTCTATTGTGTTTCTTTCTTGTAATGAATGGTCGAGGATTCCTGGAGTGTCAACAACCTATGAATAATAAAAATACAACACAGGCATACATGAACAGACTGGTAATGTTGTATGATCAGCATACAATATCAACTTACACACATGAAATCACAATGATTGTTAGTCAAAAGTTTAATTTCCCAATAAAGTACAGTGTATAGTACCAAATGTAATAATTTATTTTGACCATTGAGAGACATGGAAACAAAATTGAAACATCTCAGAAATTTTAAAATAAATCTTATGGCACAGTTTAGAGAGATGTGGGTAGTTGTGATCAATTTTTTTGGTTTTGATTCCTTTTTGAAATACTTTACATGGTTACTAACAGTTGTTCAATTCTATATAATTTTGGAATAATTACTGCAGATTATAATATAAATTATTGTAGTATTAATTGCACTTGTTTTTTCATCCTTTTTAAGTTTTTAAAATTACCAGTAGTCTCTATTTGGAGTACGGTAGCTTTAAAAATATCAAGGTCTTCAATGTTACTTGTTCTTGAACCATTTCTGCAGGGTTTCATGCTGCTGCATTTTAAGTAGGGGAACATTGTTTCCATTATTTTTAGCCACTTTTCAAGCACCCTTTTTTGTGGTTTTTGAGAATTCGGTCAAGCACATTTTCTAACATAATTTATATAGTACTATTTTATTATTATCATTGATGTAACTAGGATACATCAGATAACTGACTAACTCATCCTACATAAACTTTTCACTTTGAACATCTTATGTAAGTGAAGCCAGAATTGTCAAAATAATATTATATTAAGAGAAGACATATGTTGAACAGCAGCAATAAATGTTGTAATGTACCTTCACTGTAAATCAATTTTTTAACACATAGATACCCAAAGGGCTTTTGTCATTGGTTTCGATATGCAAATGTGTCACTCACTCACTTTGTGGTGACAGAGATTGCCTCTACCATTCCAACCCCAACTCACTGCCTGATATGAAAATGACATAGTTTGTTGATGCTGAAGGGTGCCTGATTTGTACCTTCACTCACGCATACTCGTAAGAGAACCCTGGGGATGGGGTTGTCACTTTCATGTTCGCTACGAAAGCATCGGCGGACACTCCCTGTTGATTCTATCAGAAAAATATAGGTCGCGTATATGCGCCACAAGTGTCTTAATCATAAGCAATGAGGCGGTTTAAATTTCCAGTAACAAAAAAGGAAGAACGTTGCCAATCAATTGTGCATTTAGTTGAGAAAGGTTCAACTTTTGCATTCATGCGTGACCTTCCACACATTGCCTCTTTTTTATTTACACACATACATTTTAAGTATGTAACGTACATATTGTACATGCACGCTTGTGAAAATTAAGCGACAGGGACTTTATTTTTAGGTCCTTTAGGGACCCTAAGGGCTTAACTTTTTATGTGACCCATGCCTTTCGACACTTTTTTTTTCTCAAACTGGTGTATCATAAAACTGGAATAGTTCTCAGTAATCTTTTTGCTTAAAATGAATCGCATACAGCCGGCAATCATGATCAATCATAGTGATTTTGAAAAATTTATAAAGGCGTGGAAATGTACAACCGGTACCTTCTATCAGTAGTTTTCATTATAGAATGTAGCAATTCTCTTCCATGAGTAGTAGCCTGCGTAGCAGGTAGTCTAAATTCTGAAAATAAGCCCCTCTATGTATAAGCCCCTCCAAATATAAGCCCCCCACACTCCCAACGCAAAAAATCTTCCGTTAAATCGCCCCTCCAAATATAGGCCCCCCAGGGGGCTTGTACTTGGAAATTGCCCTCAGATACAAAGTAAAACAAAGAAAAACGGTAAATTTCCTTCCAGGAATAAGACTAGCCCAATTGATCTTTAAACACAAATTTCCCTCGGTACATAAGCCCCTCAAAAACGGCCTTTGAAAAATATAAGCCCCGGGGCTTATTTTCGGAATTTTACAGTATTTTTCATTTGTGTTGGAGATAGAGTGGCATAGAAGCTCTGAGGTCAGAGATATTTATTTAAGGGAGGGGACAAGAGGATTTTCTAAACAATTATCCACAGGTTCTCCATAGATTTTACTTTCATTTTACTTTTGACTGAACCAGCTTCACCCTGTACAACAACATGTGAACATCGTTTTTGTACCACATTGCACAGTATCAACATAAATATCATTTTGATCTTTGTATTTTTTACCGATGCGTGCCGCGTTCCTGACACATAAAAATCCCCAAAGATGCAAATTAATTAATCAATAATGGCATGCATCCCGTTGGACACAAATATTGATTGATTGATTGATCTGAAGTTGTTTCAGTAGAATATCCTGTTTGTGTGATTTCTGTGGCTGTTTTTAAATGACATTTATTCTTTTAGTCTTTGCTGTGCTTTACAATAGAGGGAGTATATTTTTACACAGTATATTTCAGTAAACTGAAATACAGAGTTTTGGAGTCTGTCTTCAGATTATAACTATGTGGTTACAAAAGACCCAGGGACTCTTTATTTGTTTTTTGAACTGGGACACATGATTTTTCATAAATTGAATCCCAGGACTCACCATAACTATTTGTAATAAAATCATTGATTATCCAACAAAGTAAGAGGTATTACATGTACTCTAACTCAAACCAGTGAGTTAAATGTTGAGTTAATTGTATTTAACAATTGTGACCTGCTTTTCTCCCTCATGACCCCATTTTAGCTTCTCTATGGGTCCTGTGGACCCCAGGGTGGTAACAATCTTGGTAAGAACAATGAGAAAACTGTTCAGAACCAATACTAGTACTATGTAATACCAGTAATAAAACTGTACAGAATCAATACCGAATCAATTACACATACATACAGCAGCAACAAAGGTGACACCTAAGAAAACATCACTTAAAAAGTGAATTTGTGTTGCCTCAAACTTTATCACACTTATTCCATCTCATTTAATTTGTCAAATGTCGGCAAATTATTTTTGGAGTTGAATTCTGAAGGGCTGTATCAAAGTTTAGGAAAA